AAATGTCCACTCAATGAATTATCACGTGCACATACATCTTGTATAGGGGACGCACATCAAGAAAAATAGTTTTACCAGGTCTCTAAAACACCCCTTTATCTTCTCATACTCAGTACCTTCCTGAGTCCTAAATGTATTCAGTATCACATCATGGGTTAGGTTTGCCTGTTTGTAAATTTTGTATAAATGAAATCATACATTATGTCTTTTTGTGTTATGTAGTTGCTTCACTCTATGTTGTTTAGTGACATTCATTCCTGGTGTTGCAAATAGCAGTAAAATTATGCTTTCTGTGTAGTTGTCTATCTTATAACTATTGCACCATTTATACTTTTCATTGCATTGTTATGGAAAGATGGGGTGATTCCAGTTTGTGGCTATTCTGAATAGTGCTGGTATTAACATTCCTATACATGTCTCCTTTGTATCCCAAGGTATTGGGTTTCTCCTCAGTATATACCTAGGGATGTGATTGCTGGATATGCAGACGTGTTCAGCTTTAGTCAATACTGCCAAAGAATTACCCACATGGTTGACCCAATTAACAGTTTTACTCTGAGTATCCGTTGCTTCACTTTGTTGCAAACACTATCTATATTGTCTTTTTTCATTTTAAGCTTTCCGATAGGAATGTAGTAATATCTCATTGTAGTTTTAATTCATGTTTCCATGAAGTTTATTGATGCTGAGCATTTTTTCAGCTATCCATTGGCAATATCAATTCTTCTGTGAAGGGTTTGTATAGCTTACATGTGGGCCCACTGTTGGTTTCATATATATATAATGTTTGTGTATATCATTTTTAACAATTTAAGTGTATAGAAAAGTTGGAAGTATGTACAAAGAATTTCCTATATTTTGAACATTTTTGAGTAAATTGGTGACCTGAAGTTCACAACTTGAAATATTTTGGTAAATATTTCCTAAAAGCAATGTGATCTCCTATATACACATAATAGAACCATCCAAATGAGTAAATTCACATTGATGCATTAAGACGACTTAATCTTCATTTCTATTAATGTTTCATCAAAAGTACCTGTGATATTCCTTATATCCAGTTCAGAATCCACTTCAGATGCCCAGTCTTACATATTGCTATTAATTGTCATGTCTCCATTGTCAACTTCACAGCCTAGAACAGTTCCTCAATCTTTCTTGGACTTCTTGATCTTGCCACAATTGAAGAATATAGAACACATATTTGGAAAATGTCACTCAGTGGATTTGTCTGATTTTTCCTTGTGATTAAATTCAGGTTATGGATCTTTGACAGTAATATGACAGAATGATATTTTTACTACGTTTTTTTGTAAAGGCCTCATATATTTATCACTGAACAACCTACTGGTGTAGAAACATATTAACAAAGAAAAACATCATTTTTCCAATAATTTCCCAATAAAACACACCCCACTGTGCCGATAGTAGTGATCTTTTCAGTGATATGATAAGAGGCAAGCAACCTGAATACAGCATAAATATGTGTGTCATCTCATGTGCGATTCCTTACAGATACAGCTTGACTCCTCTCCTCTTGGAGTTGTACCTGATTTCTTTTTAGCAGTTTTCCTCTGAGTCCACTGGGGAACGTGCCAATAGTGCTTTTGTTTCTAGGCCAGGAACCACTTGTTCCTGAAAGTCTTGTAAAACGACATGGCAAGGAAGAGTCAACTGCATGCACCACCATTTTAAATTTCATCATGTTTCTAGTCTACATTGATAGGAGTTTAAGCCGCCTGTTCAGTCAGCAGAACATTATGTGTGAATCTTCAGGGATAATAAACGATGGCTTTCTCTCCTGTCCTCATTCATTTGTTCCTCCCACAAACAAGCATGGAATACTGGGCCCTAATCCTGGCCAGGACCTGTCCCGGATTCTGGACACACAAGGGTGTCGGCACAGTTGTTGAAGGAAGGGGTGTGACGCCACATAGGCAACAGGAGGGAGATCATTCCAGGCTGAGAGGAGAGTGTGCATAGAGGGTTGGGTGGGCCTCAGGCCACAGAGGGCGAAGAAGAAGTAGAGGAAAGAAAGGCCCAGGGCAGGGTGGAGGGTGTGTGAGTTCTTTATTGCTTTGGTGTTGCCCACTCAACCCTCTGCAGCCTTGGTTTGCTGCAGGTACCTGGCACAGGAGTGATTCTGGGCAGAACCAGCTCAGTTTTCTCCTGTGTGTTGTGGTCCAGCTGGTCACGGGAGCAGCCACGGTCCCTCTGCATCAGGAGCCACTAAAGAGTAGTTGCGTCGTGCCTGGGATGGACACTGGTGGCAAGCACAAACGATGCTGAGTGTTTCCTGGCAGAACCACCAAGTCAAATGAGACACCAAGTCTCACTGTACCTGGATTTCATGGGAGGTGGCGGGCAGGCTGTGATGGTTCAGGCACTCAATGCTCTCGTGATCTTAGGCAGAATTTTTCAGGCAGAAAACCTAACAAGTTTGTTTTTAAGAACCACTTACATTAAAATGTCCCCACGATTTGTTTTAATCAGGTATGGTGAGACACACAGTCACAGAAATGACTGTCATGAAGGAGAAAATGGTTGCTCATAGTTCCCTAGAAACAGGAGGCATGGCAACACAGTGAGTGACATGAAGAGACACCCAGGTTGAAATGGAGGCAGAAGTAGGGTGAGGGGAAAGCATGGGCAAAAGCCTTTATTGTGTTATTTTTTTGTGGAAAAATATGGGCGACACAGGGTAGGTATGCTAAGTAAGCTTAGGACTGGCTGTTTCAATAATATCAATGGGTTCCCAGGTGTAGGTACTGCCCCTAGTTGCCTGGTATCTGGCCCTGGGTGGTTAGGGTAGAGGAAGAGTGCATCGTGGAGAGTAAGAGTCAGATAGAGGGCGGAAGATGGGAGAATGGACTCAGGATTGGTTAGTCCACTTATCAAATGCATGCCACCAGGCAAGTCATTCACTACCTCTATAAATTAGCTCACTCTGGGAGGACAGTCCCTCACTGGTTCAGGGAAACCCCAGAGGCAAAAACATCATAAAACACAGAAAACAATAACATGATTAATACAATTTGTCTTCTGATGTTTTGACGTCACATTAAGGAAAGTTTAGGGTGATAATAGTGGAGACAAAGAATAGGCCAAAAGTTGGCCTGAATAGCATAGAAAACGTTTTTATTAGAGTAGAAAGAGTAGAAAGGAGGAACACAAGTAGAGATATAAGGAGTCCTTTAGGGCTTGCCTATAACTAAGTTCCAGTTCATATCACATCAGCCAATAGAATGGAAATGAAATTTTATGTACAACAGTGCCTGTTTGCCCACACATTTGCTAACACTTACATTAAAATTTTTTCATTTACCAATCAATAAAGAGGATTAAAGGATAATAGACATTTTAGTTTGTACGTTTTCTTTTTAAGATCATTTCATATGTTTAGTAACCATTTCCATTTCCTCTTCTGTAATCTGTCCATTCAAATCATCTGTCCATGTTTTTAATACTTAGAAGTTTTACTGGCATATGGTAGAGTAGAAAAACAGCCAGTTGCAGAATAATATGTATAATATGAGCCCAATATTGCAAAGTTCTGAGCATTTGTGGAGGGTTTTAAACACACACACACACACACACACACACACACACACTCACACACACACGGTGCCAAAAAATGTATACACATCTTAAATGTCATTTTAATCTCATATGTATATATGTGTATATGTGTGAGTATATACTTATGCACATACATAGACACATATGTACATCTATCCCCATATGTTATCTTTTTTTATTTTGTTGGGGAATTGGGGAAGGGGAACAGCCAAGTTGTTGTCTTTCAATCTTAGTTGTGGAGGGCACAGCTAGCTCAGCTCCAAGTCCAGTCGCCATCCAGCTGTCCATCGGCAGCTCAGGGCAGCTCAGCTCAAGGTGCCCTGTTCAATCTTAGTTGCAGGTGGGCATAGCTCACCATCCCATGTGGCAGTTGAACCAGAAACCTTGTTGTTAGGAGCATGTGCTCTCACCAGCTGAGCCATCCTGCCACCTGTTGGCAGCTCAGCTCAGGTGCAGCTCACTGGCCCATGTGGGAATCAAACCGGCGACCCTGTTGCTCAGAGCTTATGCTCTTAACCAACTGAGCCACTATGTTGTCTTAAAAGTGCATGCCCCACCCCCATATGTTATCTTAAAAGTGCATGCAAAAGTATAAACTCATTTCTCTAGGAGACGAGCCTGCAAAAGGTTCATAGGCAATGCCACTCCTCATTTCACACACTTCAACACAGAAGGAAAAATGATGACAACAATTTGACTTGTATAAGGCGTTCAGTTGTCTATGCTTTAGAGACAACACGAGACAGAAAACTTCAGATCATAGCATCAAATTGCCATTGCACTCATGTTAAGTGTAAAACAATGTGGTGGAAAGTAGAAAAAGAATAGAATCTGGTGATGCCATGCAGGGATTTGGATCTTGTCTGAGGAGGAAGAATAACAACATATGATTAACAAATATGGAAGCATCTCTTCATAATTGACTTTAAGTGTAAAGCACAAAGTAATAACACTTCAAACCCTTTTATAGTGTTCACGGACACCAGAGCAGAGGAATGAATTCTAACACTGTTCATTCCTCCCTCTCACTTAGAGGCTCATGATTACCCTGCAGGTTGGAGCTGCTCCTGGACACAATTTTTCTCTTTCAAATCCAAACCTCAGCCACTCCAGCTGCTACTCAACCTGGAGAGCTTTTCTGCTGTCTTCCCCTCTGTCTCTCTCTGTGCTTATCATTATGAGGACCAGCACGGCCTCTTTAGACTCTATTTTCTTCCATTTCTCAAGTACATTACATAAAACAGAAGGTAAGTCTATAGGCTGGGTCAGCAAATAGAATGTTTTTGTTTAGAACATGCAGAGGACAAGTGGCTGTGTGTTGGTTTAGTCTAATCATTTCGATTTGTTTCCCAGTGATAACATAGTAATAACTCAATATTGGACAAGTACTAGCAGATGTGGTGGCCAACACAACACGAGTATAAAGAGTAGCCATTTTATTTGTGAAACTCAGGAAACTGTCCTTTAATGGAGGTTGGATATTCTCTGGGTATTGAGAGAATGGGGAGATATGAGATGAGAGGTCAGAGAAAGCATCCTGACTAGTGAGAAGGAGGTGAATGATGCCCTAGAGGAGGGGTGGGTTACAGGCGACCCAGCAGCAGCTAGAAGATGGGCCGCCCTTCCTCACACAGGAATAAAGCAGAGCTGGTATGAGGGCGGCACTTGGCCAAACCCACTGCAAACTGGGGTGGTGTCTATGTCCTTTGGGTCAACCAGAGATTTCAGGGTAAAATTCTGTAAAATGGTCGTCAGGAATAAAAACAACTCCATGCGGGCCAGGCCCTCTCCAACACACATTCGTTTTCCTGAAAATAAACATAAGAGATTTGTTCCTTGAACATAATGTTTTGAATTGTCACAAACAAATATGCTGGTAACTATTTGATGAATAACTGAATAAAGGGCTGGAAAGACGGTTAGAAAGGCAGATGCATAGAGGGATGGACACATTTGCTATTCACCTAGTAACTTAATGGGAACCCTTTATTCAACAAATATTGGTTTTTTATTTTCCCAGAGCATTTTCTTTCCCAATATTTTTAATTTAATTAATTTATTTTTAAAAATTAGTTTCAGGTATATGAAGCAACACAATAGTTAGACATTTAAACCCCTGATAAAGTGATAACCTCCCCCCAAGCTAATACCCCTCTGACATCTTATGTAGCTGTTAAAATACCATCGACTATTTTCCTTATGTTGTACTCCACATCCCATGACTATATATACCTATATATTTACTTGTAGTTGACATTCAGTATTATTCTACTTCAGCTCTTCAGGTGTATAACACATTGGTCAGGCAACTACATAGTCTATGACATGATCCCCCTGATGAGTCCAGTGCCCATCTGGCACCTTGCATGATGTTTACTACATTGTTGATTATATTCCCCATACTGCATTAACTATCAATTTGTATTTCTTAATGCCTTCCCTTTTTCCACCCTGCCCGTAACCCCTTTCCCGTCTATCACCCTGATAGATCTATAGTACCTATCTGGCACCATACCTATTTATTACAATATTATTGACTATACTCCTTATGCTACACTCTACATCCCCATGACTGCTGTATAATAACCAATTTGCACTTCTTAATCCCTTCCCCTTTCATCCATTCTAAACCCCCCCTCCCATCTTAAAGAAGTCCCTCTAAGATTCCTTGAAATACTGGTTTGGTGGTGATGAACTCCTTCAGCTTTTTCTTGTCTGGGAAGCTCCTTATCTGTCCTTCAATTTTAAATGATAGCCTTGCTGGGTAGAGTAATCTTGGTTGTATGTCCTTGATTTTTATCACTCAGAATATTTCCTGCCACTCCCTTCTTGTCTGCAAAGTTTCTGTTGAGAAATCAGCTGACAGTCTTATGGGGGCTCCCTTGTAGGTAACTAACTGCTTTTCTCTCGCTGCTTTTAAGATTCTCTCTTTGTCTTTAACCTTTGGCATTTTAATTATGATGCGTCTTGGTGTTGGCTTCTTTGGGTTTATCTTATTTGGGACTCTCTGTGCTTCCTGAGCTTGTATGTCCATTTCCTTCAGCAGTTACGGAAGTTTTCTGTCATTATTTTTCAAATAGGTTTTTGCTTCCTTGCTCTCTCTCTTCTGCTTCTAGCGTGCCTATAATGCTAATGTTGGTATGTTTGATATTGTCCCAGAGGCCCCTTAAACTCTCCTCAATTTTTTGGATTCTTTTTTCTTTTTGCTGTTTTGGTTGGGTGTTTTCTGCTACCTTATCTTCTACATCACTGGTTGGATCCTCTGCTTCCTCTAATCTACTGTTGATTCCCTGCAATATATTCTTCATTTCCATTATTGTATCCTTTATTTCTGACTGATTCTTTTTTATGGTTTCCATCTCCATTTTTATGCTTCCTATTTCTCTGTTGAAGTTCTCCCTGAGATCATTGAACATTCTTATAACCAGTGTTTGGAACTCTGCATCTGATAGACTGTTTATCTCCATTTCACTTAGGTTTTTGTTTTGTTTTTTTAAAGATTTTTATTGGGGAATTGGGGGGATTGGAACAGTGCTGGAGAATTGGGGGAAGGGGAACAGACAAGTTGCTGTTGTTTTGTTCTTCAGTCTTGTTGTGGAGGACGTTGCTTCACTGGCCCAAGTTGGCACCATCATTGCTCTCTTCCCGGGTGAGGCAGATCAGTCGCTGGCTTCTGGACGGNATCACATTAAATATAAATAGATTAAATGCTCCAATCAAAAGATATAGGGTGGCTGAATGGATAAGAAAGCAAGACCCTTGCATATGCTGTATACAAGAGACTCACCTCAGATCAAAAGACACATACAGGCTGAAAGTAAAGGGATGGGGTAAAATCTTTCATGCAAATGGAACTGAGAAAAAAGCTGGAGTAGTGATACTTATATCAGATAGAATGGACTTTAAATTGAAGCATGTAATAAAGGACAAAGAAGGGCACTTCATAGTAATAAAGGGATCGATCCAACAAGAGGACATAACCCTAGTAAACATCTATGCACCTAACATAGGATCCCCTAAATATATAAAACAGATATTGACAAACATAAAGACAGAAATCAACAGTAACACTATCATAGTAGGAGACTTCAACACCCTACTGTCACCAATGGACAGATCCTCCAGACATAAATGACACATTAGACCAGCTGGATTTAACTGATATTTTCAGAGCACTTCACCCCAAAGCTACAGAATATACATTCTTCTCAAGTGCACATGGAACGTCTTCCAAGATAGACCACATGTTAGGCCACAAAACAAGTCTCAATAAATTTAACAAGATTGAAATCATACCAAGCATCTTCTTTGGCCACATGCTATGAAACTAGAAATCAATTATAAGAAGAAATCCGGAAAGCTCACAAATACATGGAGGCTGAATAACATGCTCCTAAATAGTGAGTGGGTGAAAACTGAGATCAAGGAGGAAGTCAAAACATACCTTGAGACAAACGAAAACGAAAACACCACGACCCAAAATCTATGGGATGCAGTAAAAGCAGTCCTAAGAGGGAATTTCATAGCAGTGCAGGCCTATCTAATGAAGCAAAGAAAATCTCAAATCGAGAAGTTATCCTTACACCTCAGGGAACTGGAAAAATAACAGCATAATAAGCCCAAAGGCAGTACAAGGAAGGAGATAATAAAGACCAGAGCAGAAATAAATGAAATAGATACCAGAAAAACAATACAAAAGATCAATGAAACCCAGAGCTGGTTTTTTGAGAAGATAAACAAAATTGACAAACCTCTAGCCAGACTCATAAAAAAGAAAGAGAGACCACAAATTAGTAAAATCAGGAATGAAAGAGGAACAGTGACAACAGACACCATAGAAATACAAAAAAAAAAGAAAATAACAAAATACTATGAGCAACTATATGCTAACAAATTTGGCAATCTGGAAGAAGTGGATAATTTTCTAGACGCATACAACCTTCCAAAGCTAACNTGGTACAAATTCAAAATGAATAATCCCTCTGATATAAAAAAGGTTAACAACTTCGTTTTGACTCTTGACTTGGACTCACTTTTTTGGTCGTGGAGAATTGGCTGACTTCCATTGTGCACTTTGATGCTCTGTTTCAGGGTCGTATTGGTGCACCCATGTTTCCTCGCCAGTGATAACACAGCCCAAAACATCGTCCTGCCTCTCCTAAAAGCCTTGCCAAACTTCAGCTCTCCTTTGCTTTTGTTCATTGGTGAGCTCCTTCGGGACCATTTTTGCACACACCTTTCTCATGCCAAGATTTTCAGTTAAGATTTTTCTGTTTCTCTATCGATGTTTACTTGGTCTGCTATACTTCTCACAGTCAGCCAACAATTTTGACGCACAATTCGACGGATTTTTGCAACGTTTTCGTCAGTTCTGCTCATTACTGGCCACCCTGACCTCTCTTCATCAGTGTTGTGTTCTCTTCCCTCAGAAAAACGTTTAATCCATTTGTACACTGCTGTTTTCTTCATGGCATTATCCCCATAAGCTTGGACTAACATGTCCCTGATTTCACTTCCACTCTTGCCAACGTTAACAAGAAATTTAATGTTTGTTCATTGCTCTAATTCAAGCTCAGACAGTCTCGCAACGGCACACAAAAACACACAACAACAATAATGAACACCACACAGAAAGATACCACCAAACATCAACATGAGCACGGCTGTGAGACCCTGATATACCAAGGTTATGAAACCTTACCGAGCAGTTTGTACAGTGCTGCCAATGTAAGTGCACAGTGGCAAGTTTGGGAACTTAATTGTCATACTTCGTAAACACAGAAACCATGTATTAGAAAACACTGGGGTCATAGAAATGGTGGCAGAAAGGTGGGCTCCCTGAGTTGTCCCCTGGAAATTACCACAAACTGAACAGCTATAACTCATCAGAGGAACCTCTGCTCATCACACAGAACAGCTAAGAGACTCGCACGACGATTGCCTGAAGGTGAGCTAACCAGGCGAGTTGGGGAAGAGGGAAGGGAGGCATGTGGAGACGCAGCCCTCACCTGCTGCTGCGGAGGCCCAGGGCCCCAGGAAGCAGATTGGAGACTATTACAGCAGCAAGGCGACGGGCTACCTCCCTATGCCCCATAGTCCTGCCAAGAGTTCAGCATAGAGCACNCTGCTCACGCTGGCTGCTGGCTACACACAGTAGCCCATGGCAACCCACTGCCACAGGGGCTGCAGCCTATGCCATCGCTGGCGACTCAGGGCAGCCCAGCTCCAGGTTGAGCTGTTGTTCAGCATCTTAGCTGTGGAGGGCAGTGTCACTGCCCCTCATATGTGGGATTCGAACTGGGGCCCTCTGGCATGCCAAGACAGTTCTTAACCATCGTGCCACTAGGCCGGACCTCACTTAGTTTTTTTTCTGGAGCTTTGTTCTGTTATTTGGTTTGGGACATGTTTCTTTGTCTCCCCATTTTGGCTGCCTCTCTGTGTTTGTTTCTATGTATTAGGTAGGGCTGCTATGTCTTCTGGTCTTAGTAGAGTGGCCTTACATAGTAGGTGTGCTGTGAGGTTCAGTGGCACAGTCTTTCTGATCACCTGAGCCACGCGCTCCAGGTGTGTTTGTTGCGTGGGTTGTGTGTGCCCTTCTCTTGTAGTTGAGCTTTGGTTGATAATTGCACATCAATGTCAGGGACTGACCCTTGGGCTCACTGGTTGTGAGGTTTGGCCTTGTCTACAGTGGAAGAGTTGTTGTGCAGGGGCTGACCGTAAAGAGCAGCATCTGCCTCAGCAGGACTCTGGAGCTGCCCAATCCACCCCATGGGTGTGTCATACTTGGAGGGGTCTGGGTGATGCTCCAGCTCATTTTGAAGCTGGCCACTGAAGGCGCCAGTCTCAGGACCACCTTGGAGGGGATCTGCTGTAGGTCTACTTCAGCCATAGCCCATGCCCCACCCAGGGCCACCCAGCGGGAGCCAGAAAGAAATGTGCAAATGGATGCTGCCTGTGTTGTGCTTGGAAGCACCTTGAGAGGCCAACCATGAACCAAGGCCAGCTGCCACTAGTGCTGCCTTAAGGCTGCTCAGCTACAGGTAAAGGACGTGGTCAAGCAGCATCTTGTCTGGGTTCCACGGACCTTTGAGAGACCTTAGGAAAGTCTGCAGCTTGAGCCAAGGTGGGCAGTCTGAATGAAAAAGCTGCTGAAAGCAGCCTGGGTGTGCCCCAAAGTTGGGTGGGGCAAGGTCTCAAGTTGGCAGAGTGTAGGAAACTATGGGGGAGACTCAGAAATGGCGGCAGCCTTCATCCGCATGCAGGGAAGGGGGAGAGCTCATCAAAGAAACAATGGCTCCTGCCAGCTTCCCTGTCCAGCAGAAAGGCACCTCTCCAGCCCCCGTCCCAAGCCAGACAATTCAATTCACCACTATTTGTTCCCTGCCACCTTTCCAGCTGCTGCCCCAGCGCTGGAGCTCAGAGCAAGTGATTCCATTGGTGGGTAAATGCACGCATGGTCCCTTTAAGAGGAGTGCCCGTGAATGCTGCCACCCTCAGTCTCCCTCAGTCACAATCTCTGCTGGTTTTCACAACCAAAAATTATGGGGAATTCTTTCCCTGGCACTGGAACCCTGGTCTGGAATCTCTCACTCCTCTAGAGGATAGGAAGGGAGCCCCCACAGCTGAAATAACCCTGACGACCTTTAGTGGTCACACATGGATGTGCGACCAGCCCGCTCTGCGTCTCTGACCTTCCTACCAGCAGGGAGGTGGCTTCTTTTGCAAGTTCTTAGTTGAAAGGCTTCAATTCATCTTGATTTTAGACAATTCTCAATAATGGTTGTTTTGTAGATTAGTTGTAATATTGATGTGGTTGTGAGAGAAGGTAAACATAATGTTTACCTACTGTGCAATCTTGGATGTCCAACAAATATTTTTTGGGTATCACGTCTGTGTTAAGCGCTTCATTATGTACTCACACATTATAGCTGATCTTTTGACATTTCCAATTTCCATCAATTTTTGTGGAAACACTTAGACAGCAAAGTGGGTTGAAGGGAGAAGAAATAAGAGGAGGAAACTCATATATCCTGTTTCCCTTTCGACCACTGGCACAAAATTCAGCCAAACATGTTTTGTTTTCTTCTGCCCTTCCTATGCTTTCAAAAGCACATGTCTAAATGTGTCTCTCTCTCACTTTAAAATATTAAGTGTCTCCCTCATCTGCCCTATGAGATGAGGTCCAAACAGGTTGAACTGGCCATTCACATTTTGTTTCCAGTCTGATTTCCATATCACGCCTTCCCTTCTTCACACCCTCTGCTCTCAGCTCTAGCCATGCCCACTCTTCATCAATCTCCAGTACACCATGAAGTTTCCAGCTGTATCTCATGCTGCTCCATTTGGTCAAGCGGCACTTCTTTTATACTTCCTTCAGGATCTGTGTCTCATGTCCTTTATTCTTTATGATCTTTGTGATCCCCTCAGGCAATAGAATCTTGCCCTCTCTGCATTTCCTCAGCACCATATTCATGCTTCAGTTGAAGCATGGATCACTTTGAATCATAATTCTCTATTTACAAGTATTTTTCTACCATGCTAAAATGTGCATTCCTTGAAGGGAAGGCTCAGCCCTTGACATCTCGGTATGCACAGTGCAAACCCAAAGCAGGCATCAAAAGTCATCGAATAAATAAAGGCGACTGGATGGCCAGAGACTCGGCACACCCATTGTATCAATAGCTGTGGAGACCCAACATCCAAGATGTATGATCGTGAATGGAGGAAGATCAAGGTGCTTGGAACCACTGTAGAGTACCCTGCCACATTCCCAAGGTTCCCCTAACATGGCAATTAGTTGGCAGATTCTGACATCCTTGAGCTACAGGAAATGTCCTGCTTCTGTGGTCCACTCTATAAGAGGGCCCTGCCTTCTCTTCTCTCTTTGCTCTTTATCTCCTGTGAGGCAGCTCAAATTCTCTTTCTGCTGTTAAAATGTTGCTTATTCCATTTAATACCTCACTGTCGGGTTATGGGAGGGCAGCTCCCATTCTGATCTCCTGAGCAGCCTGTGTTTTCCTCTCCCACAGCACTCGTCTTACTGGATTACAACAATCCTCTTACTAATCTGCTTCCCTAACTAGGGTGTGAGCCCCTTTGGTGCCCATTCTGTGCTATGGAAACTTGTAACCCCAGAGCTCAGCCTGGGCAGTGAGGGATATCACGTAGAAGATACTCAGTGTTGTTGAGTTATATACATTTCTCATGGCAGGTGAGGAAAGTCTAAATGAGTTCTGTGTGGTAAGAGGAGTTCTTAGGTAGCTAAGTCGAGGCAGGATTTAATCAATCTATTTTCTAGCTTCCTCACTTTGGGAGAACTGCCTGGGTCACCTTTCCAAAGTTCCAATAATGGGATGTGTGGTGGTAGGAGGAGCACATGGGCTTTGGGAGTGGTGCCTGTGATCATGGACAAAGAGCAATTCTACCCGTCCCAAGTGGGCACCAGGTAATTTCCAACTGATCCCCCAAAGGCATCTTGTCCCCTTAAGTGCCTAAGGAAATTAACCTTTCTTACCTGCTGAGAAAGGCATGAAGTAGTCACTCTTCTTAAAGTTGCCACTCTCATCCAGGAAGTGGCCAGGGTCAAATACCTCTGGCTTGGGGAATTCCTTGTCATCATTCAGAAGAGAAGTCAGCAATGGTATTACAGTCGTGCCCTGGAAAGAACAGATGATGATAAAATGAGTTATAAATATATCATGGATCTGAAAGAAATGTTACAAATCATTTAGTATGATCTTTTGATTTATATTATAGATAAGGAATCCTAGGTCTATAGAAGGGCAGTGGCATTTCCAGCCAGACAGACCAAGTAATGAACAGGGATGACTTTAAGACCAATGGCCGTGATGTTGCTAAAGTGGCCTCTAATAGCATTTGAAATACTGACTACTTGGTTTCTTGGGGGCCAGACCTCTGAATCTCCTCCACTTATGACACTTGGATACTGGCATCTGTGTCACCCTCTGCTTTATTTCATCACTTCAGTTCAAGTAAGGATTTGGCCATAGAATGAAATTGCACCAAACACATTTGTTTTTAATTTGGGTTGAGGGGGTTAGTATAACAAAATTAAGGATGGGGGAATCCTAAACTCATGTTACAGAAAAAAAAACAAAAACCCAAAGCCAAAATCCTTAGGTCAGCTCTGTCTAACATACTAGCCTTGAGTGTTCCATGGTTTTTTATATTTATATTAAATCTAACTGAAAGTAAATAAAAATTAAAAATCAGTGCCTCAGTTGTATCAATCACATTTCACATACTCAATAGACATATGTGGCTAGTGGAACAACACAGATATTCAGAATTCCCTCTTCCTGAGAAGATGGCACAAGTAATTTCAATCTAATAAACTCACAATCCTTTTTCCCTCAAAGTAGAATTTTTAGTTACCTATTTTTTTTTACAAAATAATTGTTTATTGTCATCATTCATTTGTATATTGAGCATTTATTGTATTCAGCAGGAATTTCTGCCACCTCCTCTTCCACAAAGCCTTTATAATAGTAATATATGCGGGCTTCAAACAG